AGGGCATGGGGAATTATATGCTTCTCACTAGCATTTGTGTGGCAAATCTACACCAAGTGGCTTCTCGTACATCTACACGAATCTGAAAATGGATTTCGTAACAGTAGATACCTTCACCTTGCAGTAACGGCCTTTGGTTAGTAAACTGTACATCAAGCTCATATAACAATTAAACTAAAGAAGAGTTATATGCACACACTCTGAAATTTAATCTCCTACCATAATTTGAAGGCTACAACATTTGCTAGTCATATATATTAAGACATTTCAAAACTAGCCCTCTATATGTTATTTATAGAGGGCTTTGTCCTCTTTAGTCATCAAAGAGCAGTATAAAATTCATTGCTTGGGTGTGAAGAATTTTTGTTTGAATAGAAGCCCACAAAGATAAATGGATAGTTTCCATTCTTTTTCAGGTAAAAAGTTAGGGATGATTCTAGCAATGTTCCCAGTTATCTATCAATCAAATGGTGCTTGTGCACAGCTGATCATCGTAGGAGGTGGAACCTTGAAGCTTTTCTTCAAAACTGTGTGTGAGGATGGAGCCACTTGCCATCCATTGACCGGTACCGAGTGCTTCTTGTTGTTTACATGCATGGCTGTGGTTCTCGCCCAATTTCCCAACTTGAACTCCGTAGCTAGACTCTCCTTGATCGGTGCCATCGCATCAGTTGTATATTGCACTACTGTTTGGACTCTTTCAGTTGGAAAAGGCAGGGACCATGACTACCCATCATATGATCCACCAGCGATGGAGTCCACCATAGATATATTTGGTGGCAAACTGAATGCGGTTGGCATTATTTTTCTTACATTCAGAGGTCACAATGTAATTCTTGAGATACAGGTGAGCCTCCTTGCTAATTGTAAGATTAATTTTATGTTTCATTAGTTTTCTTGAAACTTTGGGTGGGTTTTCTATATGCTATGTGCTGTGGCCATGTCGAAGAAGGGTTCATTGGGCTCTGACACTGTTAGTAAATTCCTTAGCTTGCTAGTTTATACTTGTGACTTCTTAGTACTAATTATCACCGTACGTCCCCAGACGTTCAACGGATTGCATTATCCGTGTATTTTGTCAACACTTTTGATAGTTGGTCATATCGGCTAATATCAATAGTGTATTATGGACGGTACTCAACACCGGCTAGCTACTGATGCCCTACCATCAGTGGCGGAGCCAAGATTATATAACAATAGGGTCATGATAAGTAAGTGTAAAATTAAGCATATTTTTGTTTATAGTTTGTCCACGTAGTAATATTGTATTTTTTGTTTATATGTAAAGCGCTAACAAAAAGTAAAAGAAAATATCAAGCACCACACATAGTAAGAAGCCACGAATCAAGAAGTCAATACATCCAGGAAATATGCAGTTAAGGACATAAGTGAAAATTAGAACACAAGTTTTTTTGGGTCAATTAATAAGAATTTGAGTAAAGCACATTGTAAGGGACAGAGAAAATCTAAATTAAGAAGAAGATGCACCACAAAAGAAGAAGATAGATGAAAGAAAGAAGAAAATTGAAGCAGCAGCAGCAGAGAGGAGACCGTTGAGAAACAAAAAGCTAACCTACAAACCATTTATATTTCCCAAACTGATAGGGGTCAAGACAAAACAAAAGAGGGAAAACATTGGGTCATTGGGGTCATGTGAGCTCAATGACCCCAGTGTGGCTCGCTAGTGCCTACCATCAAGTTGGGTAATTTGTGCAATGTATCTATCAATATATGTAGAGGTGATGAAGTTCACCAACTTATGCTGCAGGGCACATTACCATCAAACCCCAAATACCCAATACATGAGCGAATGTGGAGAGGAGTGACTATAGCTTGTGCACTCATAGCCGTGTGTTTTCTTCCTCTGGCCATAGGTGGATTTTGGGCTTTCGGCAACAAGGTAAGAGCGTATTATATTTTGATTTAAATATGCTTAGTCACTTCAATCGCAATGAATAGTTTTTTTATATCATCAAAATGTATTTCGATTTATGCAGGTACCCACTTCCTATAGAGGAGTATTAATCTTGGTTTCACAATTCCATGGACATAAAAACACTTCAAAATTTGTGCTTGGATCATTTTGCATGCTTGTAGTGATACACTGCTTAAGCACATTCCAAATCTATGGCATGGTGGCTTTTGATAATCTGGAGTCAAAGTACACTGTCAGGAAGAACAAGCCGTGTCCAAGGTGGCTTCGCGTAGCTTTACGCATTTTCTTCGGAGGAGTGGAATTCTTCATAGCAGTTGCTCTTCCATTCTTGGGAAGCCTGGCACCTCTAATCGGAGGGTTGACATTGCCTTTGGCATATGCTTACCCATGTTTCATGTGGATTTCAATCAAGAAACCAAAGCAAAAAGGAGCAGTGTGGTGGATTAACATAGGACTTGGATGCTTAGGCTTGGCTTTGAGTGTCATTTTAGTTGTTGCAGCAGCTTGGAATTTAGCTGACAAAGGTCTAAATGCCAACTTCTTCAAGCCTTAAAATTCATACTGAAACTGAGCAAATTGTGTAATTATTATGTTTGAAATTGCACTACAAAAAAAGTAGTCATTACTGACGAATTTTTCTTAGGGCCCTAATAAACCATCCTAAAAAGAACATTTTGCAATCATAAAATATGGGTTGTCAGTAACATGGCATGAAACAAATTTTTATTACCAACACACTTAATGTCCTCAGAAAAAGTCCCAAGTTTCGTCGGAAATGCACTTTTGTTTGGCAAGAAGAATTGGCACCAGTTGTATTAACGACGAGTAAAGTTCTTATCGGAAATAGAATGGTTATTTCAGAAGGTTTAATCATGTTGACGAAATTGATTTAGTATTTTTGAGGGAAAAAAAGTCCTCTCGGTAATGTTTTTATATTTTTTATGAAAAAAAAAAATCCTCTCGGTAACGCTTTTATATTTTCGAGGGTGATTAATTGTTGCCGGAAGTAATCATATTTTTCTTGACAAAATTTTTTCTTTATCAAAATAACTTTTTAAGGCATATGGTATTGTTGGAATCAATTATCACATGTGTCGTTGGAATATTCTTGAAATAAGTTTGATGCTTAATTTAAATTTTACAATAAATAGATCATATAACTTAGAATACATATGGGAAAAAAACACAAAACCGTATTAAAATAGTACTATCCATTAGTGCAAATATTTTAAATTGAAGATCGAATTTGTTTGTCGTACTCTTATAGGGATGAGGAGTGTAGTTGTAAAAAATCAGCAAAATTGGAGTTAAAATAACCATTAAATCGTGAGTTTTCGTTTATAACCGTTGAAAGATTTCATCCCATTACCTAATATCTGAATGTCCTTTTTTTGCAATTTTTTACGTATGCGATCTTGGAGCATATGCAAACAAGTTTGACGGGTGGATCTTTAAAACTAGTTTTGCAGAATGTGTAACCCTTCAAAACGATATATTCAACAAACATTTGAAGTTTATTTTATACTTCCATTAAGTAAAACATAATAATTTATGGTATCCACTAGTGTAAATATTTTAAATTGAAGATCAAATTCGTTCATCGTACTCTTATAGAGTTGAGGAGTGTAGTTGTAAAAAATCAGCAGTTAAAATAATCGTTATATCGTGAGTTTTCGTTTATAACCGTCGAAAGATTTCATCTCATTACCTAATATCTGAATGTCTGTTTTTTGTAATTTTTTATTTATGCGATCTTGGAGCATATACAAAAAAAGTTTAACAGTTGGATCGCTAAAACTAGTTTTGTAGAAGTATCCCTTTAAAAACGATAGATTCAACAAACACTTGGAGTTTATTTTTTACTTCCATTAAGTAGAACATAATAATTTGTTGTATCCACTGGTAAAAATATTTTAAATCAAAGATCGAGTTCATTCATCGTACTCTTATAGTGTCACATCCCGGCCCGGGGTGCACCACTTACCGGGCCCGCTCCACTACCGTAGCACGATATTGTCCGCTTTGGGCCCCAACCACGCCCTCAAGGTTTTGTTTTTGGGAACTCACACGAGAACTTCCCGATGGGTCACCCATCCTGGGAGTGCTCTCGTGCGCTACTCGCTTAACTTCGGAGTTCCCATGGAACCCGAAGCCAGTGAGCTCCCAAAAGGCCTCGTGCTAGGTAGGGATGGGAATATGCATATAAGGATCACCCCCTGGGCGATGTGGGATGTCACATATAGGGTTGAGGAGTGTAGTTGTAAAAAATCAGCAAAATTAGAGTTAAAATAACCGTTAAATCTTGAGTTCTTCCTTATAACCGTCAAAAGGTTTCGTCCCGTTATCTAATATTTGAATGCCTGTTTTTTGCGATTTTTTACATATGCAGTCTTGGAACATGTACAAACAAGCTTGACGGTTGGATCGTTGAAACTAGCTTTGTAAAATGTGTATCCCTTCAAAATGATAGATTCAACAAACACTTGGAGTTTATTTTATACTTCCATTAAGTAGAACGTAATAATTTGTGGTATCTACTAGTACAAATATTTTATATTGAAGATCGATTTCATTCATCGTACTCTTATAGGATGCAAATATTTTAACAATTAGATCGTTGAAATTTATTTCATAGAATGCATATCCCATTAAAACAATAGATTAAAATAGAATCATACATTTTGACAAAAAAAAAAAATATATATATATATAGAATCATTCATAATTAAAAAATTTGGAGGAGGCGGGAGACAAAAATTTTGGCATGGCACCCAAAAACTTGATTTCCAAAGAGAGCACACATCGCTGTTTTGTCCACGCGTGCTTGAAGGCCACGCGCCTGACATAAAAAAATAAAAACAACGGCTGACGTCGCCCTGACGTCACACCCACTTCGGGCTCTCGGACTGGCAACTCGTGCCGGACCTCTCCCTAGAGCTAGGCCTGTCCCTCGGACTACCACACGCTGGACCAAATTAGTCGGGCTCTCTGGCCCCGTTCACAGGCCTGTCCCCAGAGCAAAAGCTCCCGCTGGAGCTGCTCTATAGCTTGTGCACTCGTAGCCATGTGTTTTCTTCCTCTGGCCATAGGTGGATTTTGGGCTTTCGACAACAAGGTAAGAGCAAATTATGTTTTGATTTAAATATGCTTAGTCACTTCAATCGCAATGAATAGTTTTTTTATATCATCAAAATGTATTTCGATTTATGCAGGTACCCACTTCCTATAGAGGAGTATTAATCTTGGTTTCACAATTCCATGGACATAAAAACACTTCAAAATTTGTACTTGGATCATTTTGCATGCTTGTGGTGATACACTGCTTAAGCACATTCCAAATCTTTGGCATGGTGGCTTTTGATAATCTGGAGTCAGAGTACACTATCAGGAAGAACAAGCCGTGTCCAAGGTGGCTTCGCGTAGCTTTACGCATTTTCTTCGGAGGAGTGGAATTCTTCATAGCAGTTGCTCTTCCATTCTTGGGAAGCCTGGCACCTCTAATCAGAGGGTTGACATTGCCTTTGGCATATGCTTACCCTTGTTTCATGTGGATTTTAATCAAGAAACCAAAGCAAAAAGGAGCAGTGTGGTGGATTAACATGGGACTTGGATGCTTAGGCTTGGCTTTGAGTGTCATTTTAGTTGTTGCAGCAGCTTGGAATTTAGCTGACAAAGGTCTAAATGCCAACTTCTTTAAGCCTTAAAATTCACACTGAAACTAAGCAAATTGTGTAATTATTATGTTTGAAATTGGTTCGCTTCATTTTTTTTTTTAACAAACAATATTATCTACACTAAGGTGGAGGGGGTGAGCTTAGCCTGACAATGAGCTTGTAATAATATGGTTCAACTTCACCTTTGACGAGAATTGAACTTCAAAACCTCTTATTTACAAGTGAAGTAGAATACCACTGATCATAGTATTAAGTGGTTTCATCTTCTTAACACACACACACACACATATATATGATGTGACCTTTTAGGCCATACAACATATCACTCATTCATTCTTACGAGTGTTTTAGCTGTTAGATTTAATTTATACGATTATTAAATCTTTTATTTTCAATCTCAATAACTCATTTTTCGTACTACATAACACTACGTAGTATTGAAGAAAAATTGTTGACCTTAATGACTTGTTCGTCGGCTTTACTTTTTCATAGGCTTAAATTTCTAAAAAGATGGAACATAAGTATTGAATCAACTATAATTTTAGGGGGCCGGTCTCTCTGTGGCCTGGTTGCTTTGTGTTTCACATGACGTCCATGGGGTCATTAGCTCGACCGGCACAAAGGAAAAAAAAAACTATAATTTTAGAGATGTATTATTCATACATCTTTTTTTATTTTTCATATACTCCTTATTAATTTATGTCTTTTGTTCTTTTTTAATTTAATTCATCCGACGATTGCAAATTAAAAGATTATATATAAAATTAAAAAAGAATGTGGATAGCACATTCCTAACTTTATTTTCTTGACATAAGAAAGTGGAAATATTCTGTAAGAAGGTTTGCTAAGTATCAATTTTTCAAGTGTTCGACCACAGTTTTACAAGTGTCAATTGGGATCATGCTGTGGTCCAAAATGGCAACATTTATGACATGGATGGCAATCAAATTGGCTCCAAAATAGATTATTGTGCTTACCTAGCCACTATCTATGATAAAGTTTGTTGATTTTAAGTTCAAGTGCTGAATGATACCCTTTCAAACGAGTGCGCGCCATACCCTTCATCACCAACAGCGTCAATGAGAATGGACACATAAATGCATAACAAATCGGCACCTAAGGGACCTCCAAACTCCAATCACATCAAATTTACTTTTCTTATAAGGGCGCCACACTTTCCTTTGGTGGTATGTTGAGTCCTCACAGCCATAACTTTTCTGCCAGCTGGCCTATTCATGGCATGCGTTTGAAATTGCAGCCAACAAAAGCCGGAAGATATCCTCTCAAAATCTCTTCCATCTAATCTTCCTTATCAAATAATCCGAACATTTAAAATATGATTTAACGACTAAAGTTATTATAATTTTTAAAATAAGCCCGTGTTTTTATTCATTTGATCAAATTTCAAGGGTTCAAATTGTTTGATAAGGAGAATTAAGTGGATGGGATGCAAAGAGGATCCCTTTCCACAAAAACTTACATATTCTCTGCATCATTTGCCCCTTAATTTCTTGATTTTTCTTTTCAAGGAAGAAAGTTAGTATTATAGATTATAGATAGTGTCCGGGGCCTAGACTTCTAGTTCTAACCCAGACTTTAAACTCCAAAACTTGGAAACCTGTTGCAAGGTGATAGATGGTCTGAAAAGAGTTCTACTTTAAAAGAGTATTCCTTACATTTCTCTTAACAGGGTACTACTGTTATTTGCGTAAAACAACTAAGGTTATGAACTTAATGAATTGAGACTGACGAAAATTATTGTAATCATGAAAGACATATAATTGTGTATAATTACTGTGATACATGGAGAAGCCACAATTGAAAAAAAAATGACTACAAAAGTTATATAAATGGTAGGGGTAAATTACCGTTTGACCCCTTAGATTATTAGTTCAGTCGAAATTGATCTTCTAAATTATTTTTTTTAGTAAATTAATCTCTTGAACTATTTGAAATATGTCAATTAACCCCTTGTCTCTAGATTCTATCCATTATTCTATCAAATTTAAGGGCAAATTAGTCTTTTTACAATAAATTATTGCATGTCACTTATAACCACTAATAAAATTATAACATGTTGACACATATTAATGTGTAATGATAATGTGAAATGGTCTGTTATGTAAACGTTTGATTTTTTTCTATTTTTTATTATGTTATAAGTTTTTGAATTATTATATGTTCACATGACATTATTTTATTGATAGTTATAATTAAAAAGTGAGAATTGATGATAAAAAGTCTAACTTGCTCTTGAATTTGATGGAATAGGGAACGGAATCTAATGGTAATGGGTTAATTTATTGATTTTAAATAGTTTAGGAAGTTAATTTACAAAAAAATAGTTTAAGAGGTCAATTTCAACTAAAGTAATCATTTAGGAGGTCAAACCACAATTTACCCAAATGATAGAGAAAGCCATTTATGAACCACAATAACTAGTGTATAATTACTGTTATACATGGCAAGTTTCATGGCCCCACCCATGAACTAAATTTTTTTTTCTTAGAAGGGAACAGCTAAACTATACAGCAACACTAGTGATGGCCAACCATGCATATTGGTTCTACGGCTCATTTTTGAAGACGACATATTGAAAGAAATGCAGTACTGCTTTGCGTCGTGAAACTTGAATTGATTGGTAACAATTATGCTAAGAGTATGCATGATATTATTTTGATGACTTGATAGGCATATAACATTAAGGGTGAAGTACAAAAAACTACCTTAATTATTGGTATCACGATACTTTCATACCTCATCTTTTAAAATTAACAATATCATACCTCATTTTTAGAATTTGGTTTAAGGTTATACCTTACGTTACTTAGCCGTTTACTTTTCAATTAAATACTAACGTGGCTTGATCTGGATCTCACTTTCTATTAAAAAATTATTAAAATATAAAAAACTATATAATTTTTAAATATTAAAAAAAAAAATTCCCACTTTCCTCCTCCTTCTTCCTCCTTCTTCCTCCTTCTTTTGCAGATTCAGGTTTTTTTTTTTTTTCCTTCTTCTTCTTCTTCTTCCTTCTCCTCCTCCTCCTCCTCCTCCTCCTTCTTCCTCCTCCTTTTGCAGATTCGGGTTTTTTTTTCTTCTTCTTCTTCTTCTTCCTCCTTCTTTTGCAAATTTGGGTTTTTTTTCTTCTTCTTCTTCCTCCTCCTCCTTCTTCCTCCTTCTTCTTCTACTTCCTCTTCTTCCTCCTCCTCCTTCTTCTTATTCCTCCTTCTTCTTTTAAAGATTCGGATTTTTTTTCTTCTTCTTCTTTCTCCTCCTCCTCCTTTTCTTCTTCTTCCTCCTTCTTCGTCTTTTCTTTCTG